GAGTTTATTTCGCTTGAACTGTAGTCTTCTCATCCATAACATGGGAATGATGTACCCACCCACGGGGTTGAGGTAAGGATTATACACGATCAGGTATGTAAAGTGCTTTGCATCACGTTAGCCAACGGACCAAAAGACGAGAGGAACCAAAGCCATCTCTTGGTGGTGCCACGTCCTCAGTGCTAACCTAGCTGACTTCCTCTCCAGGACAAGAGTGAAGGCACTGGAAGCGTCCCGTCCCGAAGGCCTTGTCTCCCGAGACCTAGCTCGCTGCCTCCCAACCTGCCTGAAGAGGAAACCCGCAGAATTGCACGGATATTTTCCTCCCGGTTCTCCCAGAAAGACTAATGCAGCTGAGAGACTGGAGGAAGGAGCCCCTGCCCACCGCCCTCAGCCTCGTCCAGCTTGCAGGAGTGCCAGGTCTCTTCTCTCTGAGCTGTCAGTCCTGAAACCACTAGGCTAGTTCATGGGCGCCCCGAGAGCCAGACAGCATAAACAGTGAGAGCTCCCACACCGGCCTCTTGTCCACCTGCAAGGACCTCGGCTTCTTCCTGATATATGGAGGCAAAGACTAGAAACAAAATGGATTCCAGCACCCAACTGGCCCACTTGTCTTTTGAAGGGACCCAAGCAGGCATGTTTTGGCTGAGAAACTCCTCCCAATGTCCTTGGCCCAGCATACTGCTGGCATGAGCTCACTCTCTGCCTATGACGAGCCATTTCTGCCTTAAAGGTTTTGAGGGAAGATGTAGATTGTATGCATTGTGCATAAATGAGGAAATGCTACCCCACCTTCAGTTCATTTGCTTGCGAATAAGGATATTTTCTAGATCTAAATTATTTTTATGCTGTGTTGAATTAATTAGTAGGAGACGAGGGGGAAATCATCTCCTTCAAACATTTTATGTGATTGTCTGAAATTCTAACCATGCTTTTAACTTATTGTTTTTATTCAGCTCTGAAGGTCATTGTTCCTGCCCATGTTTGAATAAAATCATATTGGTATTTGTATTCTGTGTGCAAGTATTTTCTGGGTTGGCCACTGGACAGGAGTGTCAGGAATTCCTTTGTGTTCTAACAGGCAGAAAAAAAGCTTGGCCATCATACAGTCCCTTAAAAACTCATCTGAGACCAGGGGCCAGAGTCACCATGAGACTTCTGAGCTCCCCAAAGATCAGATTGGTCCAGATTAGGGTGACATAACATTACTTCTTTGCTGGTGCCTCAAATCTATTAGCAAAGTAAAGGGAGTCTCCTGCAACAAGTGGTCTCCGAATTCCCCACCTCTCCGGGATACATGGCTCTGGCTTAGACTGTCAGAGCTCAAACTGAGCAGCTACTGTAGACAGGGCCTGTGGGGGAGATAAGGGCAAAGATGTGCAAAGTGGCTGCCACAGGCTAGAAGGGAGCTAACATGGAGGGCCCTGCCTTCTACCCCTAAGCACAGGTCATTTCACTTATTCCGAAAAAAGCAACTCTATCACCCACATTAGGCTTCCCATTTTAGAGTTAACTAAAGCTCAATGAACTTAAGTTTGCCCTTGTTGGTGTAGCTAGGAAGTGAACCACCAGACAGCATCTCCAGAGACGTCCCAAGGCTTCTGCCCTCGGTGGCCAAAACCGGTCACAGCCAGTAAGTGCTGTGAATTCAGGGACCATATGGAGAAAGACCATCGGGGTTGGAACAGTCAGGGAAGGCTTCCTAGAACAGAGAAGTCAAGGTGAGCCCAGAGAGAGAACCCAGCGGGTGCTCGGGCCACGTGCACCTGGGGATAGAGAAAACACCACTCCCCCAGCCGGCCCCCTCCGGCTTGACTCTCCCTGCCTCTGAACCTCTGTTTCCTCATCTGTAAAATGGAGACGATAACCCCAGCTTCACAGGGTGGGTGTGAAGGTGAAATGAGATGACATTTGTGAAAGTGCTTCGCCTGCACTTGGCACCTAGTGGAGGCTTAGGAAATGTCAGCCCCGCCCACACCTCCACACTTCTGGACAGGCAAGCGCACCAATAACAGAGAGAGAGAGAGAGAGAGAGAGAGAGAGAGAGAGAGAGAGAGAGAGAGAGAGAGAGAGAGGTAAGACATGTCCTTGGGGGGTACACCGTGAGGCAGGACCCCCAGGGAGGGACACGGGGGGGGGGGGGGGGGACCCTCATCAGTGAAGTGCCCTCAGGCCAGCCTGCCCTCCTTCTTCTGTTCACCTCAGCCCCCTCGCCTGCCAGCTCACCCCCTCCCCAGAGCCTCCCTCTCAAGCCACCAGCCCAGAGTGTGAAGGCCTGGGGCTCTTCCTCCCTTGAAGCCCCAGAGAACCTACAGTGGGGCAGTCAGGGGCCCAGGCCTGAGGGGTTAAGCTGGAGAATATTCCTTCCACTAGTAAATCCTCTTCAGGTCCTGAAAATAGCCCAATCAGGTCGAGTTAGGATAAGGCCACAGCAGGACACGGGCTGCTTCCACCCAGGCCGAGGGAAGCCTTCATGACACAGACACTCTGAGGGTCTGAAACCCACTGCACCCCCGGAAGCTGGCTCTGTTTCCCGGGGACAGCTCAGGAGAAACACCACGCAGGGTCGTGCAGTATGAGGCACCTGCTGGTTCCCGCCACCAGCAGCAGAGCTAGCCTGTCTCCCCCACTTCCCTTAGAGCGCTCCCTTTGTGGAGACCTGAAAATGGGTTTCTGATCACCCACAGGCTTGATCCCAGCTCAGGGCAGCCAACCTTGGGACTTCTAGAGCGGGCTGGATTCTGGGGACAGAACCAAAGCAGACAGGCCTGGCCCCGCCCTCAAGAAGCTCTCAGGCCAGTGTAAACTGAGCTGGCCCGCCTGCCTGCCCTCTGACATTCTCCAGGGCTGGCTGTCCCCTTGTTTGGGTTCCTACTGTTTATCCCTCCCACTGCAATTCACCCACCACTTCGGGGCCAGCATCTTCAGGTGGAGCCTGGAACCTATGTCCTGAGCCCTCCCAACCTCAGTGGCCCTAGCAGCACTTCTCTAGCAACACTTACTTACACAACTGCCTGTCCTGCTGACATTCGGGCAGGGCCTGGTTCAAGGAGGAGGGCAGGCTTTGTACCTGAGCATCTGAACTTATGATCATCTGCCTCGAGGCCATGGCTCTGTGCCCAAAACCAGCATTGGCCTCTGCCTACTCTGCCCCACCCAGTTCATTCCCTTCCCTTCCCACCCCTTTCTTCCTTTCTTCCCCTGCCCTCTCCTCTCCTGACCCCTTCCCCTTCTCTCCTCTCTTCTCTGATACCTGTGTCCAACCCCTATCCTCAGTGCCTACCCATCCTGCCCCCAGCTGCCTTTGGCTCCAGCAGTGTCCTTGCCGGAGCCTCCAAATGTTATGTCATCGAAAACATGGTCACAGCAGACAGACCCAAAGTATGTTACAATTTACAGGCTAGAGACCAGGCTCTGCCTCATACTAGCTGTGTGACCTGTGTAAGCCACTGTCTCTCCCTGAGACTGTTCTCTGTAAAATGAGCATTGCAAATGTTAGGATCCTCTGCCATGAAAAGGAACGAACCGATGAGCTTTGGAAACAGTATGCTAAGTGAAAGAAGCCAGTCACAGGGTATGTCACCTATTCTATTTATGTGAAATGATTCTATTTATATGAAATATTCAGAACAAGCAAATCTATAGTAATTACTTGGAGAGAAGGGAAGTGACTGCTGTGTAGGGAAATTTTTTTTGAGAGGTTATGAAAATGTCCTAAAATTGTGATGATTAATGATAGTATAAATGTGAATATACTAAAAACACTGAATAGGTAGGTAAACGGTGTGTGAATTATATCTCAGTAAAGCTTTATTTTTATTTATTATTTATTGTTAATCCTCACTTGATATTTTTTCCATTGTTTTTTAGAGAGGGTGGAAGGGAGGGAGGTGGGGGAGAGAGAGAGAAACATCAATGTGAAAGAGAGACACAATTAGTTGCCTCACACACACATCCTGACCAGAGATCAAAACTGCCAGCAGCTATGGACCCTTGACTAAAAATCAAACCTGAGATCCTTCAGTGTGTGAGCCGATGCTCTAAACACTGAGAAACACTGGCCAGGGCAAAACTGTTATTAAAAAATAAGTTAACTTCACCCTAACCAATTTGGCTCAGTGGATAGAGCGTCGGCCTGCGGACTGAAAGGTCTCAGGTTTGATTCCGGTCAAGGGCACGTACCCTGGTTGTGGGCACATCCCCAGTAGGAGGTGTGCAGGAGGCAGCTGGTCGATGTTTCTCTCTCATCGATGTTTCTAACTCTATCTCTCTCCCTTCCTCTCTGTAAAAAAATCAATAAAATATATTTTAAAATAATTAAACTTAGAATCCTATTAGTATCTACCTCCTAGGGTTGTAAGAAATAGAAATAAAATATGTAAAGTATCTAGCTCATAGTAGGCACCAAGAAATGAGTTGTCATCAGTGTTATTTTTTTTAATATGTTTTATTGATTTTTCACAGAGAGGAAGAGAGAGGGATAGAGAGTTAGAAACATCGATGAGAGAGAATCATCAATCAGCTGCCTCCTGCACACCCCCTACTGGGGATGTGCCCGCAACCAAGGTACATGCCCTTGACAGGAATCGAACCTGGGACCTTTCAGTCCACAGGCTGACGCTCTATTCATTGAGCCAAATCGGTTTTGGCTGTCAGTGTTATTATTGAGAGGAGGCTGGGGAGAGACCTGCCCAGCCTACGGAGGGAGGCCTTGACCTTTGGATTTTCACAGGTGACCGGTCCAACGCCCCACACATGCACATATATACCCTCCTCTGAGGTAGCTCTTCAGTAGCTTCCTTCAGAAGCTATTTTAAAGAACCTCGAGGGAAAGGAACTGAACCAGATCTAGAACTCTGACCTCCTCCCTCATCTCCCTGCCCCTCACCAGCCGCCTCTTGTCAAGTGACAGGCTGTCACTAGCATCTGCAGGGTAAGGTTTCAGGTCAGCCGGATTGTATAAAGATAGGTGCCAAGCCGGAGTGCAGAGACAGCAGTGAATGGCCAGGGAGCAGTCAGAGTCCTGCTGCTGCCTCCTGGGATGGAGCCCTAAGGAGGTCCTGAGCTTCCCCTACCCCTGCTGGACTCAGGTAAGATCCCATTCTCTACCCACCCCCTCATGTTCTCCCCTCCCCACAGCCAGGAACTGGCAGGGACCCGTACCATGGCATCACAGAGCTTATGGAGATTTAGTCCAGCCCCACCTTGTCGAGGGGAGGGAACTGCAGCGCGGGTGAGGCACTGTGGCAGGGCTGGGACTCAACCCCACCGCCATGTCACTCACCCAGGACTGGCTCCTTGCTCCGCTGACTGCCTCTGCTGTGACTTTGCACATCCCCGTACGTAAGTGGCTTTCTCCTTAATCTGGCCCAGAATCCTTCCAGGGTTCCTTCAGAGCATAAAATCCCCTCCCCATAAGGGCTCCGGAGACCCCTTTCCTGAGAACGGAAGGTGGAGGCATGTATGGCATGAGACCTGGTCCATGTTGCATGCTGGGAGTTTTACAGCCCGTGGGAATCTCCGCCCAGGGGGTTTCCTTAGCGGGAATGCCAAGGAGGCTTTGCCAGGATGGGGGGTTGGCAGGGTGTCTCAGATCGGGGTTGCTTCAGAGACATCAGGGAACTTGTTCTAATGTAGATTCCCAGACCCCAACCCAGGCCTGAATCGGGATCTCTGGGGCTGAGGGCTGAGAATCCACTCCGTAATCCTGAGCTCTCCCTGAAGCCTGAGCCTGAGCAACAGAACAGGCACAGGTGTCAGGCAGATCTGGGCTCCAATCCCAGCTCCATCTCTCAGCCTTGACTGGCTGAGCCTCAAAACCTCCGGACCCTTGGTAACGAAGTGGGAGTAACCAATAGCAACTACATACCTTAGAAGAGGGGTTCTCAACACAGCTCCTCATGCTGTGGTGACCCCCAACCATAACATTATTTTCCCCGCTACTTCATAACTGTAATGTTGCTACTGTTAATGAATCGTAATGTAAATACCTGTGTTTTCCGAAGGTCTTAGGTGACCCCTGTAAAAGGGTCGTTCAACCCACAAAGGGGTGTGGACCCACAGGTTGAGAACCGCTGCCTCAGAGTTTTATAAAGGGACTGAATTTTTCAATGCCCAGGGAGCCCTCCGCTTGGTGTCTTGTGCAGGAACCACTCAGCAAGCATTAATGGCACCATTACCCCAGGCCAGTGGTCGGCAAACTCATTAGTCAACAGAGGCAAATATTAGCAATACAACAATTGAAATTTCTTTTGAGAGCCAAATTTTTTAAACTTAAACTTCTTCTAACGCCACTCCCTCAAAATAGACTCGCCCAGGCCTTGGTATTTTGTGGAAGAGCCACACTCAAGGGGCCAAAGAGCCGCATGTGGCTCTCAAGCCGCAGTTTTACCAACCACGGCCCCAGGCCATGTGGACTAGACCGTCCCATCCCTCCAGTGCCCCAGCAGAGCTAGCGGGAGGAGGGTTCTGCTCTCAGCTGCTGCTTCCCACCAGTGGCAAAGGCCTGCTGGCTGCTAGGGTTCCTCACGTATCAGGAGGCTGGAGTGAAGGGGGAGGGAGGTGGGGAGCACCGGTCTCGGGGCAGCCTTACCTGTGCCCACCGTTGTAGCCTCCCTGCCCCCACCGCAGTTTGATCATTGGAAGTTCTAAAACCCTCCCCAAAACATGTGGCTTTGACCGGAGTCCATGCCTATCCACTCTCCCGAGGGTGGCTCGGCACTGCCTCTGGACTACGCCCCAGCTTCACCCCGGGCCACTGCTCTTTTTGGTTTGTTTTTTGGCTAATCCTCACTTGAAGATATTTTTTCCCACTGCTTTTTCAGAGAGAGTGGATGGAAGGAAAGGAAGGGGTGGGGAGAGGCAGAGAGAAACATCAGTGTGAGAGACACATCAACTGGCTGCCTCCCTCTCTGCCGGAGCAGAGGCAGGGAGCGAACTCAAAAATGAGGTACGTGCCCTTGACCGAGAATTGATCCTGCACTTCGGTGCAGGCTGATGCTCTATCCACTGCGCAAACTGGCGAGGGCTGAAGCCACTGTTCCTTTTTTTTTTTTTTTTAATACATTTTTATTTCAGAGAAGAAGGGAGAGGGAGAGAGAGACAGAAACATCAGTAGTGAGAGAGAATCACTAGTTGACCTATTTAGAAATGTCTTTTGTGTGAAGTGTATCATTGGGCATGTGGAGGTATTATTGATATGAGAAAATGCTAAGTAACTGATTTACTATCTGAAAAGGGATTTACTATCAGGGAAAGGGAGGGAGGAAGAGACTGAACATAATCTACACCTATGGATGAGGACAATGGGGGAGGGAAAGGGGGCGGAGGGTGGGGTGGGAACCTGGTGGAGGGGGGAAGAAATGAAGAACCTTTGTAATAATATGAACAATAAAGATTGATTAAAAAAAAAAAGTAATGAGAGAGAATCATTGATTGGCTGCCTCCTGCATGCCCCCCATAGGCCCTTGACTGAAATTGAACCTGGGACCCTTCTATCCACTGAGCCAAACCAGCCAGGGCTGGAGCCACTGTTATTTTTTTTTTTAAATATATTTTATTGATTTTTGTACAGAGAGGAAGGGAGAGAGATAGAGAGTTAGAAACATCAATGAGAGAGTCATCGATCAGCTGCCTCTTGCACACCCTCTACTGGGGATACGCCCGCAACCAAGGTACATGCGCTTGACCAGAATCGAACCTGGGGCCCTTCAGTTCCCCAAGCCAACGCTCTATCAGTTGAGCCAAACCTGTCCCTGCAAGGAGCCACTGTTCTTGATCACATTCAGGCTCCAGTACCTCTCCCTGTACCATTCCAACCACCTGCTCACGGGTCTCAAGCCTTCCATCTCTCCCTTCCAGTCCAAAGGTCTGTACCAGCCTGCTCTGCAGGTGGGTGTGCTAATGTCACTCCTCAACCCCAACTCCCCGACCACTGTTCACTCTCGCTAGATTCAGTATAGCCCTGGCATTGGAGGCCCCCACTTAAGGCTGCTGTGGGCACCTCCGATTTTCCTTCCCATTTCTCCCCTTTAGCAAGTGGGGTTCCTTGGTCAACTGGACCTCCTTGGGCCTTTCGAGCCCTGGGCCATCCCTGTGCCAGGCTGGACAGAGGAAGAGGATAGTCAGCCCTGTCCCTGCCTTTGGGGTCCTCCTTCAGGGGAGGAACCACTGCAGTTAATGAGCTAATCCTACAAGAAAGCACGGTATGGGACCAGGAGTAGCTGGGGACAAAGGAAGTTCAGAGTGTTCCCTGCCAGGCCGGCACATCGCACACGTGCCTTGGAGTCACATAGCCCTGTGCACCCGTGACCTCAGATGGTCATTCCAGCTGTCTGGGCCTCAGTTTGTCACTCGGAAAGCAGAGTAAAAACACCTCACTTGTGGGGATCTTCTGTTAGAGCTTGGGTAACCCCCTAGAGATTGTGAACAGGGGACACTGCAACAACCAGTGAGAGACACCAGGGAGCTCAGACCCCAAGGGCCTCCCAGCTCGGAGACTCATGCCCTCACCTGCCAGGCTAAGGTTCCAAGAAGGCCACACAGGCCCAAGGAGGAGAGGGCGGGGGGTCGCCAGTGCTTAAAGGAAGAGGGGCTAACAGAATGCGCGCCTTGGGGGAGGTCTCTGCGGTTGCCATCCAGCCCCAGGCCGAGGAGCCAGAGCCTCCCTGCTGGGGACCCAGCCAGCCCGGCAGCTGCTGGTCTTCTGTAGGGCAAAGGGGAGTGTGAAAGTGGGGGAGGGGGTGTTCCCCACCATGACGTCCAGACTGTTCCTTCGGCTAGGCTCAGCTGTGCAGACACAGCACCTCTCCACCATCCTCCCAAGAAATCAGATCCCCCTTGGACCCTGTGAGGAAGGCAATGCAGAAAGGCAGGGAGACGGGCTGTGGGAGGAGCAGCTGTGGGAGGAGCACTGTGGAGGAAGCCAAACTGCAGAGGCCCCAGCCGCTTGGGGGCTGGTTTATTTCACCTCCAAACTGGGCAGATGCTCGCCAGCCCTTGAATGCCCTCACTGTACAGGCAAGATGATGGATATCCATCCCACCACAGCCCCCAGGCCCCGGAGTGGAACGGGGAAGGGAGCCTAATGCCATCACAAGAACCTGGCTGGAGTTCTGTGAATCTGAGCCAGTTTCTTTCCTTCATAAGCCTCTATTTTCTCATCTGTAAAATGGACTCACAATGTGCCCTTCCTCTTTTCCAGGGCTATGGTGAGTTTAGTAGAGCAGAGGGAACCAGGCTCTGACACCAGCGGCTGGTAACGCTGAGCCAGCGTGTGTCTCTGAGCCTCGGTTTGCTCATCCAAAGTCGGGAAAGGAAGGGAAAGCTCCCTTTCAGAAAAGCTGTGGGAATTCCACTGCGAGGTCCTCACGGCCCAGCAGCCTCTCCCTCCACCCACCCTAAGCCGGGCTGTGCACACACACCGCTCCTGCCTTTCCTGCACTCGCACACTCTTCTCCAGCTGAACACTCTGCCCACTTTTCAAGGCCTAATTCATGCAACCCTCCCGCTACTCCCCATGAAGTTGTTCTAATTCTACCTCACAAACAAGAGTGAGGGTCTCCCTCCTTTGAGCCCCTTCTGGGTGGCTCCTTCCTCTGACATTGGTCCAGCCCATCTCGCACTACAGTCACTTGTAGATATGTCTCATGCCCCTGCGAGACTCCTTGAGAGTGCCTGTGGGCAGGTCACACTCACTGTTACTCAGGACTGCCTGGGGAGCGCCACGTACAGAACCTGGCACCAGGTGGATCTTACGGAGGGGCCCACAGGCCACAGCAAGGACTTTGGATTTTGTTCTCAATATGGAGGGGGCATATTGGACAGGGAGTGACATGATCTGACTTACGTGTGCTTGGATGCCAGGTTAGAAAATCTCTTCACCCATCTGCTGTCCTGGCCAAACATTCCATAATCAACACACATGTCCCATTACAGCTCATTAAAATACATACAACCATTACATGGAAATTGTACATCAAATTTTTTACTTTTTAAATAAAAACAAAGTTTTAGCCGAAACCATTTTGGCTCAGAGGATAGAGCATCAGCCTGTGAACTGAAAGGTCCCAGGTTCTGGTCAAGGGCATATACCTGAGTTGCAGGCTCATCCCCAGTGGGGGGTGTGCAGGAGGCAGCTGATTTTTCTCTCTCATCAATGTTTCTCTCCCTTCCTCTCTGTAAAAAAATCAATAAAATATTTTTTTTTAAAAACCAAAGTTTTATATGCAACTTCATCCTTTTAAGGTCAAAAGAAATGTCAGCCTGGCTAGCATGGCTCAGCATCAACCTATGAACCAGGAGGTCATGGTTCGATTCCCAGTTGGGGCACATGCCCGGGTTGTGGGTTCGATTCCCAATGTAGGGTATGTAGAAGGCAGCCTATCAATGATTCTCTCTCATCAGTGATTTTTATATATCTCTCTCCCTCTCCCTTTCTCTCTAAAATCAATTTTTAAAAAAAAAAATTTAAGAGATAAGGCAAAGTCATGTGGCCAATTTTTCTAAGCCAGATCCACACAGCTGGACATGGAAATGCCCAGGCTTTTCACTCAGAAAGCCCCTCTTGATGCTGAGCCAGGCAGCACTGGTTCCATCTGCCTCCGCCGGCCTCTCTCCACAGCCTCCTCCCTGCATAAAGCCCAGGGCTGCAGAGCAGCCGCTCTCCTCGGACCTGAACTGGGCCCTCACAGGACTGGAAGAAAGCTCTGGGACCATGGTTGGACTGAAGCCTTCAGAGATGCCTCCGACAACAGCTGTGAAGTTCCTGGGGGCGGGCATGGCGGCCTGCTTTGCTGACCTCCTCACCTTCCCACTGGACACAGCCAAGGTCCGCCTGCAGGTAGGTGCCCGTTGGCTGAGGGCCATTGTTCGCATCAAAGGAAGGGTTGAGGTCTCTACCACACGCCTGTACCGCCTCCCAACAAGCTCTTCCCCACACACAACCCTGAGCAGGCCACTCCTCCACTGCTGCCGGCCCTGCCTTGCTGCCTCCCCATCATCATTGCCCAAGACAAAAATATCTTATTCCTAGGCATGACGTGGCAGGACCCTTCAAGGCCTAGCCCTATTTTGTAAACCATGAAGAGTGAAGTAAAAGTAAGGAATTACTGGGTGACCTAGAGCAAGCCACTGACCACTTTGATGGGAAAACCAATCTACCCTCCCTTTGCTCTGAACAGCAAATGCCACGCTGTGAGCTGTAAGCTGTGGCACAAGCCTCAGTCACTCTCCCTGAGATGTGACAGCTTGGTCATGCTTGTCCTCCAAGTCCAGCCCCAGGCAGGTGCCTCTGAACACAGCCCATCTGCCCCCCCACCCACCCACCCACCATGCTTCTCACAGCTCTGTGGGGTGTCCCTCAGATCCAGGGGGAGAACCAGGCATCCCAGGCGGCCAGGAGCGTCCAGTACCGCGGCGTGCTGGGCACCATCCTGACCATGGTGCGCACCGAGGGCCTCCGCAGCCCCTACAGCGGGCTGGTCGCCGGCCTGCAGCGCCAGATGAGCTTCGCCTCCATCCGCATCGGCCTCTACGACTCTGTCAAGCAGCTGTATACCCCCAAAGGATCAGAGCGTGAGCGCCCAGTACCCGGGGACACCCGTGCATGGGTCCAGAGACCAGAGGCAGGGCTGGGGTACAGGGGCTGGTAACAGACACTCTTGAGACTCAGAGCCCCTTAAAGAAAGCTCCAGAACTCTGCCCCAGGAGAAGAGGCAGGCCTCAGGCAGGGGAGAATGGCATGAGGCCCAGAGAGGTGTCAGGTGATGGGACACTGGCCCACTCTCTCTCCTCCTCCTCCCCAGACTCCAGCTTCATCACCCGGATTTTGGCGGGCTGCACCACAGGGGCCATGGCGGTAACCTGTGCCCAGCCCACGGACGTGGTGAAGGTCCGATTTCAGGCAAACAAGCACTTCGGGCCTGACGGCAGCAAGAAGTACAGCGGGACAATGGACGCCTACAGGACCATCGCGAGAGAGGAAGGGCTCAGGGGTCTGTGGAAAGGTAAGCCTGGACTCCAGTCCCAGGGCCTTCGGCAGAGCTTTTCCTACCCTCGGGCTGGGACAGAGAGCTGAGCAACGAGGGAACTCCCAGCAGAGTGTATTCCAGTGATTCTGAAAGAGCATCCTACCTAAACTACCTCCCGACTTACCACGGTGCTCCCAGTTCAGCTCACTCTGCCAACCCTCCACCAGTGCAGGAGTGACTGGAAGACAGAGGAGATGAGCCATGTCAAGGAGCAGCCATACCACGGGGCAGGGTGTGCTAGGCTCACAGAGATGCAGGCCCAGAAGCAGGAGAGGCCATGTGGGCTCTGGAGGGAAGGTGACGCTTAAGCTGGGCCTCAAAGGCTCAGGAGGCTCTGAGTGTGTGGAGATTGCAGGGAGGACCTTCCAAGCAAACGCTGAAGAGAGGTGACTGCAGGGCGTGGAGAAGAAACAGGCAGCTGAGAGAAGTGGGGTGCGGGAGATACTGTGAAGAGGGAGCTTCCTTGGGAGCATGGCTTTGGGGGTCCCTACGTGTCTAAATGGTGGCAACGCCGACAGATGCTGGAATCTCTCCCACATGGAGACTGGGGTCCCATGAGTCCTTCAGAAGAAACAGTGACCCAGTGGAGGTGAAGAGCAGGACGCACACCTGGGTCAGAGCCCGGGCCTTGCACTCATTGTGCTGGGCCCTCCTGGAGCCTGACCCTCCTCTGAGAAACCAGGGCTTGGTCTGGATGCTCTCCTGGATGCTGCCAACACTGCGCTCTGTCACCATTGCAAGAGCTCCCCTTCCTCTTCCAAAGGAAGACTTCCTTTCCTGGCTTAGACAAGTCTTAGGGAGGGATATGTGAATTTTGATAGGTTTTGCAGATTATCCTCCAAAATGTTGCCCAAACAAACCCAAGTGGGCCTCTCTGTTTTCTGCCTCTAAGGAGGACATGGATAATCCGAGTTGTTAACACTACGTTATGTGTAATCTGCTCAGCGGAGGTGGATGGGCTCTCTGAAACCACTGGAAGGGGGCACCATGCCCTCCAAACTGGGGTCTATGGCCTTGCAGCCAGGGGTTCACTTCTCCTGCTCCCCATTTATCAGCCCACACTCCCTTTCCAACAGGAACTTTCCCCAACATCACAAGGAACGCCATTGTCAACTGTGCTGAGATGGTGACCTATGACATCATCAAGGAGAAGCTGCTGGACTATCACCTGCTCACCGGTGAGGCCCTGGGCTCCAGGCAGACAGCCCTCCCACGCAGGGAGGGAGCCGGGAACTCCACAGAGTGGGCACCACCCAGAGGCCACTGGGCTTTTGAAGGATTAGAGAGGAGCAGTGCCCAGTACATCATTGAGATGGTAGGAAGAAGCCCGAAACGGGGAAGCCAGGGACCTGGCTTCCAGCCCAGCACCACTTCTCACTGTGTATCTTTAAGTGGGGAATCATCTGCTCCGACTCCAGTCTCCTCAAACAAGGTGGTTGGGCTGGATGACCTTCCAGCTGTGGGGTGGCTCAGTTCTATCTTGCCAGTCCTTACCAGGGGCTCCACCCAGGCAGTGAGCGATGGAAAGTACCACCCTTCTGCTCAAGGAGTTCACCGTTTAACTGGGGACATACGATGAGCACACATGTAAAGAAAGCAAGAGCTCATCCCATCTCACAGCCCCGTCTTTGCTCTTCCTTCCCTGCCACAGACAACTTCCCCTGCCACTTTGTCTCTGCCTTTGGAGCCGGTTTCTGTGCCACAGTGGTGGCCTCCCCAGTGGACGTGGTGAAGACCCGGTATATGAACTCGCTCCCAGGCCAATACCGCAGCCCCCTGGACTGTATGCTGAAGATGGTGGCCCGGGAGGGTGCCTCAGCCTTCTACAAGGGGTGAGCCTACCCCTCCCGTCTCCATCTCCCTTCCAGAAAAGTTAGCTTGCTCTCTCTCCCTCCATCCCTTCTCCCTCCCCTCTCCTCCTCCCCTTTCCTTCTTTTCTACCTTCCTTTCTTCCTTTCATGAATAATGTGCCTACCATGGGTCCCTCTGGGATGCAGTGGTGAACAGTACAGATGTAAATGCCACAAAGAAAAGTATCAAAAACTATGGAAGTTGGGGGTGGGGGAAGAGTAGGGACAGGGAATGAGCCAAATCCAATTTGGAGAGTCAGGGGAAGCTTATCCGAGAAACGGGAGTCTAGGCATAGGTCAAGTGCTGTCCCCAAATTCACTGGGCCAGGAAAGAGGGAAAGGTGGTTAGTAATCCTGAGAATTTTCCCAACCCACTGCCACAGCTCGAACCCAACCCATCAGACTTCACCCAATATGTTCATTATGGTGCTAAGCTATTTTTTTTTCCCCCTCTCACCTCCCACCTCTGATGAGAACTTTCTGGATCCCAGTGTTAGAGTGAACTCAGTAAGCAAACAGGTTCTAACTCCTGGGAATGACATCATCAGTCTGTGTTCCCACGGACAGTCTGTTCTTCCCCTATAAGTGCCTCTATCATTGCAATCTTAAGCTGTAGCCACTTGTCTCCGTTTATTATTTTACTTGGGAGACATTTGCTTTGCATCTCATGAGTGCAGAGCTGGTGCTATGCTTCCCCAAAGAGCAGCAGACAAGTAGGTGCCGTCTATTGAGCATTTTCTGATACTGGCCCCTGAGCTGTGTGCTGTGCATAACTCATTGAATCCTCACAGCAACTCTATGAGGTAGATACCATTACTGTGTTTTCCTCCTTCTACAGATAAGGAAATTGATGCTCAGAAAGATTAGCTGAGATCATGAATCTAAAAACAGGTAGAGCTTATTGCCTCAGGAGTATGCTCCCTATGAGGAGCCTAGGCTGAGGGTTCAGGAGAGGCCTGGGCAGGAGGTTATGACCACCAAGCCAGTTCCTACAGAGCCATTAGCCACCAGCCAGACAAAGACATTCTAAACAGAAGGAGCAACATGGGCAAGGGCGTGGAAATAAGGGTCTGGCAGGAGCAGAGAGGACCAGGAGGGGATCAGCAGAGAGAGGCTGAGGAGGAGGGCAGGGCCAGGTCACAGGCTCCTCCCTGAGTCTGAAGCAAAGCTGAGGTGGGGACAGGACAGGCAGGCTCTCCGGAGATGAGCTAAACTTGGTGCTACACCATCTTTGCCCTGCGGTATCCCAGCTTCTCGGTGCCCTAATCAGGGGTGAACATTCAGGATGTGAGCCCAGAATCACCCAGCAGCAGAGGGACTCACGTGGCTATAAAAGAGCTACGTAACCTCCCTGGGTGGCAGTTTCTGAAAAAGGCAACTGGCCACAATTGGCTATCTTATAGAACAGTGAGAATAACTGCCTGGTAGAGTAATCTGGCTAAAAATGCTAGTTTCCTTTCTTCTCCTTCTGCCTGAATTCCCTCAGCAGAGAAGAAAAAGACTGAACAGGTCTTAGAAAATGTTTGTGACTAACACAAGTCTCGGTCGGTGACACTGACGCTGTGATGGGGAGAGCACAGACTTCTTTCCACTCTGCCTTATGTTTTGGTTGTTTTTCTCATCAGATTTACACCCTCCTTTTTGCGCCTGGGAATCTGGAACGTGGTGATGTTTGTTACCTATGAGCAGCTGAAACGGGCCTTGATGAACGTCCAGATGCTACGGGAATCTCCGTTTTGAATAGGTCAGGCCACTTGGATGCAACTGGAACAAAATCAGTCGAGAACGGAATAAAACAGTGGGTCCACGCGCACAGGGCACAGATCCACACATGTTTACAGAACTGTTTACTTTGTTGATGACTCAAGAAACAGAAGGAGAAGAGGAGGAAGAAGTCTGGTCTTCAGTGCGTTGTCTTCTTCTTCTTTTTTTCACCCTCTTCTTTCTTTTTTTCAGTGTGTTGTCTTAACGTTTTTGTTTTGCACTGATAAGATAGCAAATAAATTATATTAATTTTTGAAACCCATTAGGTTGGATGCCTAACATTTAGGCAAGAAAAAAATAAACCAAACAGATCCCTTTGGATAAATTGGAAGATTGTAAACTGGAAAATCTGATTAGACAATGAAAGAAAAGACTGCAAGCGCTGGTCGGGAGTGGCACCTGATAACTTGGCAATTGGCTAAGGGACCTGGAGGACGTTGCCAAAGCAACATAAAGCTTGTGCTTGCAGCCTTTGGTTAACCATGAACCACCAGCAGTCTGTGTAATGTCTCTGCTATATAGAATCCATTGAGATTCTAGGAAACATGAGGAAAAAAAAAAAGAGAGAAAACCTGGAATGTGTACCAAAGGAACACTGCTGGGCCAGTGTGAGGCTGAGACTCATAGTTAGTCCCTAACAACACTGGAGATTCCAGAGAACAGCCTCAGTCTCCTTCCCTGTAAAATGGGAGTAAACATCCCATCCTTGTTACTTCACCAGGTTATCATGAGGACCAAGTGGGAAACTGGACAGAAAAATACTTTATAAAAGCAAATGTAAATATAAGGACAAGGCCTTGGTAAAGATTTTGCCAGGACAGTGAGGAAGTGCCAGGGAAGTCCTTAAAAGACGATGGATTAGAGGTACGGCCAAATGAACCAGGGCCAGGAATAACAGAGGATGATAGATAGCCATGGGACCTCCACTCCCATGTACCCCATTCCCTGGCTGTCCTGTGAAGCATCTTGAAGAGTGTGGGGCTTGGGGGAAAAGACATAGATGGTGGAGTTGAGAACCTAAAGTAGCAGGACTCAGAATTTTTAGAAAATTATTATGACTTAATAAAAGAATTAAACTTGGGTGTCAGAAAGAAAACAGCCACTTTTTCTGCCTTCTCTTTCTTGGAGAGAATTTTACTTTCTCACTTCAGGCTTCCTGTTTGTAAGGGCTGGACAAGATCCAGCCCCTCACGCTCACACTGCCTTCTATGCTCTCCTGCAGGCTGGTTGCTCTGCCTTTTATTTATTTTTAAATATATATATATTTTATTGATTTTTAACCGAGAGGAAGGGAGAGGGATAGAAAGCTAGAAACATCGATGAGAGAGAAACATCAACCAGCTGCCTCCTGCACACCTCCTACCCGGGATGTACCCACAACCAAGGTACATGCCCTTGATCGGAATCGAACCTGGGACCTTTCAGTCCACAGACCGATGCTCTATCCACTGAGCCAAACCGGTTTCGGCTGGTTGTTCTGCTGTTTAGAGCTTCGGCTCCTCCAACTGTAAAAGGCAGGATTGAACCAGATGACCTCCTTCTGGATTTAAGACTAGACATCTTCCAGGTTGACACTGGGGACCCCAAAAGTTTTTCTGCTTCTTAGCAGCCTGATGGCAGAACTGGGTTCACCTGCGTGCCACAGCACACTGGTGTGCCCCAAGAACTCTTAAAACATGCAATACCTGACTATTTATTTTCCCTTAGATGGCCAAATAAAAAAATGACAACAGTCAAAAAAAAAAAAAAGAAGAAGAAGAAGAACTGGGTTCAAACCTCGCCCCACCCCCACCTTACTAGCAGCCTAACCCCCAGGAACCCTGGCACCCCCGTGTCCTACCAGAGAAATGGGAACAATCCCACCTCACAGGAACGTTCAGCAAAGCCATCCCTCCTTCCCCACACTGACTCCGCTACACCTGGGAGAAAGTGAAGACCCACTTACACTCAGCACTTTCCTAAATTTAAATTGCAATTGAGATCATCTACACATATAAACTGGGAAATTCAAACAAAAGCAAAAATATAACAATTATCAACTTAATGTCTGGTTTGGCTTTCAGTTAAAATTCCTGGTTAAAATGTTCCTTTATTAACCTGACCAGTTTGACTCGGTGGATAGAGCGTCCCCCTGTGGACGCAAGGCTCCTAGGTTCGATTCCGGTCAGGGGCATGTGCCTTGGTTGCGGGTACATATCCAGTAGGGAGTATGTAGGAGGCAGCTGATCTATGTTTCTCTCTCATCAATGTTTCTAACTCTATCCCTCTCCCTTCCTCTCTGTAAAGAAATAAAAAATATATATATTAAATAAATAAATAAAAATGTTCTCTTACTGTGCTGGGTGGGTTGCTCTGTTGGTAGAGCACCGCAATATGCCACAGTTTCAGGTTTGATCCCCAGTCAGGGCACATACAAGAATCAACCAATGAATGCATAAATAAAAAAATTTGAAGAACAAATCTGGAGGGGGTTTTCTCTCTCTTTTCTCTCTCCTATCCTCTCGCTATAAAATCAACCAGTCAATAAAATAAAATGTCATCTTATTTTTGGCTTGACTGGCATGTGCAATTACGTGTGTGTGTGGGGGGGGGTGGTTTGTGGTTTTTTTTGTTTTTTTTTTTTGTGTGTGTGTGTGTGTGTGTGTGTGTGTGTGTGTGTGTGTGTGTAAATGTTTTTGTAGGGATGATAAGAGGAGCTGGCTGGGCAAATTGAGGAAGAGGGTTCCAAGAAAAGAAAACAGGCAATACACGGCCCTAGAAGACTGATCTTGGATGTTCAAAGAACAGAAAGAAGGCTCGTTTGGCCGGTGTAAAGTGAACGAGAAGGTGAATGTGAGAGCATTCGTTTATTCATCAAATAATGAAAGCTGAGAAGTCAGAGGACAGCCAAATATTGGGAAATTTGACAGAGAAAGGAGGGCGGGGGGGGGGGGGGAATGTCTGTTTTAAAAGAAGTAGGCAAAAAGAAGAAAAAAAAGGGGGAGGAGTAGGCAAGCTCTGCAGGTTCAATTCACACACACACACACACACAGACACACACAAACACACACACAGACACACACAAACATACACACACACACAGACACACACAAACATACACACACAGAGACACACACACAAACATATATACACACACAGACACACACACACACCACACAGACACATACACACACACAGACACACACAAACATACACACACAGACACACACACACAAACATATACACACACACAGACACACACACACACCACACAGACACATACACACACACAGACACACACAGACACAGACACATACACAAACACACAGACACACACACACACATTAGAAGTAAGGAAAGATTGAAGATGAGGGGGAAAGACTGTAGGATCAAGGTTCTAGAGAAAACGGAAGAGCCCAGAATAATGGATATAGGTGGGATGAAATACTCTAGAAAGGATATGAGAAACCTAAAAATAAGAGTCATATGGGAAAATTTTTGAAATGGAGAGAAGCTAAATGAAAGCATTCTCTAATCCTTTCAATGAAATTGAGGAATGGTCAAATATAAGAGTAGGTTAGTCGCCTGGAGAATTGTTTATAACAGAAATAATTTTAAAAGCTCTTTTCTCTTCTTAAAAATATAATCTAATGAAGAAACTTAAATCCTCTGATGCACCCCTGATACTGTCCTCTGTTTTCTCCCATAAAGCAGCCCAGGCATTCTAAAGCCTAAGGGTGAGGCCCCCATCAGGCTCCCACAGCTGTCCCAGGGCCCTCCCAGCACAGACGGGGAGTCCCACATCGGGCACAGCCACCCAGAGGGCAAGCTGCCACAGGGCCTTAGAAGTTCACAGAGAAGATATGCAAAGCAGGTTGTTCTCCACATTTCCAAAATCAGTCATTATACAGAAATATGACTTAAATGTGTCAAGAAAGGTTAGTGCAAATACTTTGAGGAACTATTATAGTCAATATTATTTCTTGCTGTACCTTTAAAGGGCCTAAGGACAAGCCATTTCTTTATTACAGAGGACACTGTGAACAGTGAGAAGATTGATGCTTCACTGCCCAGTTTGCCTAGGGCTGAGTTCTAAGTTTTTTTTGGCATAAAAAGGTAGGAGTACATCGATATTATAGACCAGTCTAGACTCTAGATCATCAATTTTATTTTTGAAATTTGAAGAATGGTCACACCGTTTACTAATAATGCCTGTGGAAAGTGCATTGAGGCATGGTGGGTGGTGCCGGCTGGTCAGATAATGACATAAAAATATACAGAAACATATTGTAGATAAGATCACCAATTTAGGCCCTCAACTCTCTAGATCACTAGAGATTATAATGTGACACATCCTTTATATAACAATTTTTTTATTTTAATGTATCACTAATGACAATTTCAATCTCTTTAAGATTTTGTAATTAGTTGAATGCAAAATGACTAGATGATGAAACTTTCAAACTATATTTTTTCAATAGTTGAGCATACTAATATTGCAGAGCTTGCAAATGTCCTTGAGATAGACTTTCCCCTGTTAGGAAATGTATTCCTATGTATTTCTAATTGTGTTTTGCTAATAAGAAGACAGGGCCCTGCCCTGGCTGAGTGGCTCAGTTGGTGGTCCCATACACCAAAAGGTTGCGGGTTCTATCGCCAATTGGGGCACACATACAGGAGGCAACCAATCCATCTCTCTCTCTCTCTCTCTCTCTCTCTCTCTCTCTCTCTCTCTCTCTCTCTCTCATCAATAAAAACATATCTTCAAGTGAGAAAGAAGAAAAAAAATGGAGGAGGAGGAGGAGAAAAGAAGGGCCCTGCCTGGGTAGCTCAGTTGGTTAGAGGGTCGTCTTGATACACCAAAGTCATGGGTTTGCTCTCCTGGTGAGGGCACATACAGGAAACAACCAATGAGTGCATAATAAGTGGAACAACAAATCAGTGTTTCTCTCTCTCTCCCCCTCTCCCCCTTTCCCCTGCCTCTAAAGATCATAAAT